AGGGCAGCCCGTCCTGGGGGCACTCTCTGCAGACGAGGAATGACACTGAGACGGGGTCTCTGAGGGTCTCAACATGCAGGGATCATGCTACACGTGGGACTGAGACCATGGGCAGCCTGCCTGTTCGTGTAAGCAGGAGAGCTCACATGAAAAATACGTGTCTCAGTCTGCTTGGCAGCCAAACCAAATCCCCAGACTGGGGGGTAAGCAACAGACATCTGTCTACTCAGAGCCCGGGAGGCTGGAAGTCAGAGGTCGTGGAGCCAGCGTGGCCCGGCTCTGCTGCAGGCGCGTGGCCTCCAAGGCACGCACAGGCTCCCTCTGATGTGCTCGCGGAGAACCGCTCTGGCGTCCTCTGTTGCAGACACTGAACCCATCAGACCAGCCCCACCCTCACACCTCATCTAACCCCAGAGACCTCCCAAAGCCCAGCTCCAAATGCTGTTGCACTGGGAGTCAGGGTTTCTGCATGTGAATTTGGGGAGAAGGACACCAACATTCAGTCCATGACAAGAAGCCTGACTTGAATCTCAATGACAGAAAGCTGCAGACGCCCAACCAGCTTCCTGGTCTGAACTGGTCTGCAGATCCAACGCCCCTGTGGATGAGGGCGAGGCCGTGTCCTTGAGGAAGGATCCTGTCACAGCACCAGAAACGTCCTGTGACTCTTCCTCCTGGCCTTCCCTGGAGGCCCCAAAGGGACACTTACCAGCATCTGAGGAAGATGAAGCAGAAACGCCAGGCTTTCCAGTGTCCCCAAACCACCATCGGGACCACCTGTCAGAGCAGGGGCTTGTGGCATTCAGGTGATCGGTGGTGTTTGGGTCACACCCATCTAACAGTGGGGCCAGTGCACCCCGAACCCAGCGGTGGGGGCCCCCATCACAGGTGCTATCGCTGCAGCGGACGCACAGCTGGCAGCACGCCAGCCCCCGGCCCGTGGAGTCAGGGCCGCTGCTGTGGGAGGGCCTCCTCCACCGCCGCCGAGGGCAGTGGACCACAGCAGGGATGCCTCCCAAAGGCACTCCCGGGGTCGGCGTCATGACAGGGACTTAGGGCCCAGGAGGGGGCTCCTACCACGTCCCCACTCAGTTCTCCTGGGGGGCCCGCGCAGAAGACAGGGGCCCTGGGGACTGCCAGCCAATGATCACAGACTCAACTGGTGGTGACTCCCGCCACAGCTGTGTTCCTGACAGGCCTTCTTTGCTGAAGCAGACCCCCGGGAGGGAGCCCAGCCGTCGGGAGTTGGTCTCTCCACGCCCGCTGGTGAGACCGTCGGAAGAGGCAGCGACATCTGCCCACTGCCCTCCTCAGAGCGGAGCAGTCCCAGGGAGTTGGCTCACTGCCCCCCTCGCAGCCGTCACGCTGGTCCATGATGCTGGTGATGCCATATTGTTTGAACCTGATAGGCAGAAAGTAGCAACTACCAGCTACCCTGGTCTGCCCAGGACTTTTCTGGGTTTAAAACTGAAAGTGCCACATCCTGGGAGTCCCCTCAGTTTGGGTCAAGCCCTACAGGGCTTCCACCAGGGGGCACATCAGACTGGAGGCCGCCGGACACTCAGCCACTCGGGGCCCCTCACACCAGGGAATCAACACAGGGTCACTGCGCTGGTGGGGATGGTGGTCATAGAAGGGGGCTGAATTTTCATGACAGAACTGGGTGAGCAGGTGGCAGTCTGGAAGGCAGGAGACCGTCTAGCGTGTCTCTGAGCGTCCCCAGTCCTGGAACTAGACACACCCAATGCAGGCATAGACCTTTGGGATCACCCCACTGGACGGACAAAGACCCACAAGCAGCTGAGGTGCGAGCTGAGGACACAGGGAACGTGGAGTGGGCAGGGCAAGAAGGCAAGTGGCTGCCGTAGCAACGAGAACCTCGTCCATACTTCACATGAGGTATGTGCACACTACTTCCACTCACCCCCCTCCCTTTTTCCACTCCCCCCACCAGGCCTTCCCTTGGGGTTCAGATGGTAAAGAATCTGCCTGCAAAGACAGAGACCCAGGTTCAGCCCCTGTGTCGGGAAGATCCCCTGCAGAAGGGGATGGCAATCCACTCCAGTAGTCTTGCTAGAGAATTCCATGGACAGAGGAGCCTCGTGGGCTACAGTCCGTGGGGTCACAAAGAGTCAGACATGACAGAGCGACTAACACTCTCACTTTCTTTTTCACCTCTGTCTAACTTATGTTAACAATAGTTGACCTTACATCTTGGTGTTTGTGTTATTAACACTCAACACACTCTGAGAGTGCTCAAGTGTTCAACATTCTTAAAGAGAATGTGTTATCCAGTTGGGGTCCCCAGGTGTCGCTAATGATAAAGAACCCACCCGTCAATGCAGGAGACCCAGGAGACATGAGTTTGATCCCTGGGCGGGGGAGATCCCCTGCAGGAGGGTGTGGAGATTCAGTTGGAGTCAGCACCACCCAGAGATGGAGCCAGCGACGTGAGACATCCCTCCACCTCTTTTTGGCCAGAGATGTGCATCACGTTAAGCAGAAGAGTGATTTTGCCTGTTTTTATTTGGAAGTTAAGCATGGTTTAAAGTAGATGTGTGTATGCAGAGTTGCTGAAGAGCCTCTGCTGGGTGATCTATTGTTCAGCTGGGAATCCATTTCCCAGGACCCCCTTCCCCATGTGGTTCAGGTCAGAGCTGAGCAAGAGAGCAACTCGTGTGAAGCTGGAAAGGCAGGAGTGGGCAGTGGCTGCCCCTCTCTGAAGGGTTGCTGTGGCCATGCGTGGTCTCCAACAGAGCAGCCATGTCCGGCAGACACCGGCTGCCTTCTCGCCCACCTCTGCCCGCTGCCCTTTGGGAGCCCTCCTGGGCCTTCCCAGGCAGTAGCATCCCCAACTCTTCCCTCCTGGCATCTACTTTCTGGTGCTTGGTTTTTAAAGACTGCATTTTGCTTCAGATCCAACGTCACTTCCCCAAACAGCGAGCCCCTAGTGGTCATTCCGATGGAAGAAACCCTTCCTTAGTCTCCCTAGGCCATCAGCTCGCTTATTGTCTTCACAGCATTTCCCAGCATTCTTGCTCACATGTTCCTCTGCCTAGGAAAACAGAAACGCCACAAAAGGAGGGGCTGTATCTGCCGTGTTCACAGCTGTGCCCCTAAAGCCTCTGGCTCATAAGGACCCTGGGCATCTGTTGGCCGAGTGGGCATGAGGGAGGACTGGGAGCACAGGGAAGGCATCGCACATGGACAGCACGGAGACGTGCGTTTGGAGAAGACACAGGAAACACAATGAGATTTACAGCACAAAGCTATTGATACAATGCTTGGAATACACACAGTTTGACGTATACCATAATGAAAGTTCAGATAACATGGGCGTGGAAAGTGGACTGGAGGGGAGGGACGAGAATGGGGTGGGGGAAGGTTTGACGAGATGTGGGCATTGTTCACAGGACAGAAGACAGAATGATGGAAAACGGCCCTGAGGTTAAAATAAAAGGGGGATAAGGATAGTGTAGCAGTGTTAAGACCGCACCTCCCTGGACAACCTTCCCAAGATGAGGGAGGTCCACATCTCCTCCACTGGAGCCTGGGGGGCCCACGACAGCAGGGGCAGGATTGGTGTGCGGGGATTCTCCAGGTGTGTTGCCCCATTTGCTGGAGTCCAGAGGCCACCATCCCGAGTGGCCACCCCCAGGCACTCTGATTAACCATCTCAGCCAAGCCCAGCTGTCCGTGCCAAGGCCCTGACATGAGGGTGCAGAAGTCTTCAGATGACCCCAGCCCAGCCACCAGAGTCACCCCCAGCTGGTCACGTCTTCCTACTTGAGGCCTGAGACATCGTGGAGCAGAGGAGAGCTGTCCTGTGAGTCCACATCTAAACTCTCAAACCAGGAACTCCAGGAGCTTAACCAACAGTTGTTTTACAACCCTGATGCTGGGCCGGCTGGTTACACAATAACAGAAAAGTGGAACAGATGGAGGGGCAGAGAGAAGAGTCAGGCTGGCAGCAGGGCAGGGGTAGTGGGGACAGGGCAGGCAGGGGTGGCGGTGGCCAGGGCAGGAATGGGAGCCAAATGGGGCAAAGTTCAGCATCAGCCCACACCCCCCTCCCACCTCCAGCTCAGCAAGAGCCACACCCTTGGCTCCAGTCAGGAACAGAGCTGGCTTCCCTCCTACCCGCTTTCAGGCAGCCCTGCCCCTCCTGCCTGGGCTCCTCCCCCCCACCTTACTCTGCCCTCAGTGGAGCCCACCACCTCGAGTCTGCTGCCCGTGTCCACCTGGTGGCCAGGTCAGGCCCTGGCCTCCAAACTAAGTCCTTTGGTAGCTCCTCATGCCCCTCACTCAGTGTGAAGCCAGGTGTTTTGAGACCCTGCTTAGTCTTGCCTGCATGGAGCCTGTGCACCCACAGCCGCCCCAGCTGCCCTGACCCACCACCATCACCTATCCCCCCCCACCCCCGTGTCTCTCCCCCAGACTTCCTTTTTCTTCCCTCCACGACGTCTGAGCCCCATTCCTCCTAGCTGCATTGTTAACAGGAGGCTCAAGCTGCAAGCCCGAGCTGGCCACATCTCTCCCCTTCGTTCCACAGGCTCGCACTGTCTCCCCATCACGACTCCCTACAGCCTTGTCCCCGTGTCCCATTGTCCCCCGATCCATAGCCGGCTCCTCCCGCGGCCTCCACCCTGTGACCCCAGTCCCTGTCCCCAGCACTTCGCGTGCCCCGCGTCCCCCGGTCCTACGCACTACCCCGCGCCCCGTGCATTCTCTGACCTTTGACCCCTGGCTACAGCCCCGCGCGCCTCCCGGTCCACCTCCCGGGTCCTCCGCATTCCCGGGACCCCCGCGTCCCCGCGCAGCGCCGGCCGTCTCACCCAGGTGGATGCGCGCGTTGCGTGGAGACCAGCGGCGGGCACACCCTAACCTCTGGCCCCGCCTCCCGCGCCGCGGATTGGCTCCCCGCAGGCCGGTCGGGCCGGGATTGGCTCGCGCGGCGCGGCGGCCGGGCCCGTTTCACGGTGGGTAGCACCGCAGCGTGGATGCTGCTGCGGCCCGCCGCGGCCCCCGGGAGCTTGGAGCCCGAGCGGCCGGGCGGGGCCGGGCGGGGGAACCGCCGGCAGCCGCTCCGCCGCCTACCCTGGGCCCTCGGCCAAGGGCAGCCCGGGGTCGCGGCCGCAGCCCGGGGCCGCGGGCGGCGGACAAAGGGCCATGCGGGGCCGGGAGACGCGGCGCGGAGCGCGCGGGAGTGGGGGGCCGCAGCGACGCCGCTGAGCGCGGCCCCGGGCGGGGCGGGGTCGGCCGCGATGCCGTGGTTCCCGGTGAAGAAGATCCGCAAACAGATCAAGCTGCTGCTCCTGCTGGTGCTGCTTACCTGCGCCGCGTGGCTCACGTACGTGCACCTGAGCCTGGTGCGCCAGGGCCGCGCGCTGCGCCAGCGGCTGGGCTACGGGCGAGGTACGGGAGGGGGCGCGCGCCCGGGGCGGGGGGCGGTGAGGGTCCCAAGCGGCCCTCCCCTTGAGCTCAGGTCTCGCCGCGGGCCAGAGCTGCCGGGACACCCGGGCCGCCTTTCCCATCTCGGCAGTATCGGGGCAGGGGGCTCGGTTCGGCTCGACCCGGCCGGAACGCCGGATGACGTCAACCGTGATGTACGCGACCCTCTTGAGCGTCCCCAAACCCGGGCTGACTCCGGGGTCTGGCCCGGGGCTTGAGCGCCGGGTAACAGTGGTCTTGGAGAGCCCTCGGCTACCAGGCCCTGCCTGCTGGGATTTCTTGGGGCCAAGTCCGGCTGCGCCTCCGACTCATCGTGCTTAGCAGAGCCTCCGTTTCCCAGTCTGCTGGGGAAGAGGCTGGCGGGGGGAGCTGACCCTCGCAGTCGGAAAGCTTCCTGGAGGAGGCGCCCTAGGTAAACCTGTAATCAGGGACTGAGACGCTTGTGTGTTGGGAGTGAGTCATGGGGACAGGGGTGCAGCCTGGGGAGCCCGGAATGCCTGGAGCGGACGCTCCCAGACTCAGGCCCACGGTCCAGTGGGAACAGACAATGAACCCACAAATCAGGTCCCGGTGAGTGATGTGGGGGAGGGCCAGGGGAGGAGTCCTGCCACCTTAGCTAGGGTATCTTGGAAGGGGTGACCGTTGACACATATTTTGGGGAGGAGGAGCAGAATGCCTAGAACAGGGCGGCGGGTGGGGAGGTTGGTGATGAGAGCAGGAAGCACTTCAGGGCAGGGAAGGTCCCAGCCAAGCTGCCCCTGACCCTTCTCAAACAAGTGGGGTGTCTTTAGGGTGAGTGATGAGAATCTCGCTTCCTGAGGACTCAGAATTATGATTTTGATCCATAAAGTCCTGGCCACTCCCACCAAAGGGTCTAAAGCTCCCTGTTCAGTCCCACACCTAGGCCAGGGGTCAGAGGCTGGTCCCAACCTACCCCTCCCCAAAGAGCACACATCTTGGAGCTACCACATCCTCTAGGGGCCCTCAGTTACCATCACATAAGGCAGGACCCCAGAGTGTGACCCAGTGACACAGAACAGAACCAGCCTCCTACCCAGCGGCCTTGTGGTTTTCTGAGCAACCACAGTCCTCCCCAACCTGACTTCCCGAGCAGCCAGGGAGCCTAACTCAGCAGCTAGGAGGGGGTGGAGGTGTGGGAACCCCATTTCTGAGGCCTCCTCTTCTCTCAGCTGGACCAGCGGGGAAGCCATCCTGCTGTTTCTGAGTGGGCAGGAGCTGTTCAAGGTTACAGACCATCAAACCCTCGTGCAGCTCCAGCCAGGAGCAGACCCAGCCGGCGGGTCTCACCTCCAGCGGCAGCTCCACCTCCTGCCTGGCGACCTGGCTCCACCAGGGCAGGGCTTGTGGAAGCTGAGCAGCTAAACGTGTCTGATGCCTTCCTGACTGTCCCGTCAGCACTGTCTTCACTCCCACCAGAAAGGCTACCTGCCCCGTGTCCAGCAGCCTGTGCGGGCAGAGGTCCTGGGCAGAGGGGCCGGCAGGCCGCCATCTGGATCTCACTGCGCTTGGGCTCAGCATATTTCCCAGGTGCTGGAGTGTTTTGTTTGCCTGCAGGACTGTGGTGGCAGCCTGGGTGTGGCACCCCCCACAGAAGTTTTCCAGCAGTCATAGAGTCACCTTGGCGGGTGGGGAGCATCGGGGCCAGGCTGTGGCGGTTTTGCCCGGAGCCTCTTAGGGGCTCAGCTCCCAGCCGGACAAAGGACAGTGACTGGGGAGAGCCAAGCGGACAGGCACCACTGGGCTCTCACAGGCAGGAGACCATGGGCAGCCCCTCTCCCCCAGAGAAGGGGCCCAGGCCTGCTGCGTCAGTATGGTACTCTCGCTCCTGGGGTCTGGATTGAAGTGCGGGCATAGATGTTGAAGCCAGACTTGGCCCTGGAGCAGACGGGTTCCTGGACTGGGGGTCCCTGGATGGGACAGTGAAGCCTCACCTTCAGTGGCTAAGACCCCAGGGTATGGGACCCCCAGATCCACAGCGTGAGGAGGAGGTCTGGGACGTTGAGGGCATTGAGGTATGCAGGTGGTCTGCCCAGGCTTGGGGGGTTGGGGTGTGCCACGTTCTGAGAAGTCCACAGAAGTGATCCCGGGGACAGTCTCCCCCCAGGGCCACCTTGGCCCCAGAGACCCTGACAGCCAGACCAGCGTGCCAGTCCCTCCTCTGCCCAGGCAGGTGCCAGGGCTCCTTTGGTCTGGGACCATGGCCTCAAGGGTAGCAGGTAGCACATGTACCATGGGCCAGGGCTGGTGTAGCCTCAAGACCACAGTGCTGGCTTGCCTGATGACAAACTACAGCACTAACGCTTGGCTCTCACTCCTGGCAAGTGAGGCAGACACAAAACACTCCAGCTCATGGGAAATATGCTGAGGGCACAGAGCAGTCCTGGGGCCTTCCTGGAGGCAGAGTCACTGAGGAGGACACCTGATCGGTGTACATGTGCACACATGTCTGCTAGGATGTGCACACACATACCTGCTCCCTCACACCAGTGGGGGCTGGGAAAAGTCAGGTGGAGGACTCAGGCAGGGCCAACCCCACAGAGGTGGGAGAACATCCCAGTAGAAGGCGCTTCGCTGGGGGAGGGGGGGGCAGCTATCGGGCAACATGAGGGGAGGCTTCAAAGGGGACACCACTGGCCGTCCTGCCCCCAACTGACCCCAGCAGCAGGGACTGTGGCCTTGAAGAGCCTGGGTCCCACCCACAGCCGCTCTGCCACCCACAGACGGTGAGAAGCTGAGTGTGACTGACGGCCGAGGCATCCGCACTGCACTGGCCACACAGAGGGCAGAGGACTCCAGTGAGAGCCGAGAGGAAGAGCCGGTGGTGAGCAGGGCTGTGGGGGACCACACAGCCACACGAACGAGACCCAAGGCCACCATGTGCCACGGCCGTGGGTGGGGGATGCAGCCACTTACGTGCCCAGGCCCGGGGGACGCAGATGCTGCACACGGTGTGGCCAGGGGGCTTCTGGTGTGCGTGTGGCTGGGCTGTGATGGATTCAGGGCTTCGTGGCTAGATGTGGAGGGCCGTGTGACGGGAACTGGCCTGTGTGGCTGGCTGTGTCACGCACTGCATCTGAGCCCGTGTGTGTGTGTGTGTGTGACTTTTTCCTGCCCTCACACTTCTCAGCTGTGACCTTGGTGCCCTTCCTCTCCCGCAGTCTGAAGGTCAGGACCCAGGCATGCTGTTTCCTGGGGGGGCTGGAAGACCCCTGGTACTCAACCTCACCCGTCAAGTGCCGGCGTGGCGGGAGGAGGTGAGGTCTGCTGGGGCTCGGGCAGGGAGGGCCGGGGCCGCTGGGCGGCCAGTAAGCCCTGCTCCCCCACAGTACAAGGGGCAGGTGAACCTGCACGTGTTTGAGGACTGGTGCGGGGGCGCCGTGGGCCAGCTCCGGAGGAACCTGCACTTCCCGCTCTTCCCTCACGTGAGTGCTGGGGGGCCACGGGTCCCGGGTGGGCGGGGGTGGGCAGGTACCTTGACGTCAGCAGCCGCTGTCCCCCCAGACTCGCACCACCGTGAAGAAGCTGGCTGTGTCCCCCAAGTGGAAGAACTATGGCCTCCGGCTGTTCGGCTTCATCCACCCGGCGAGAGATGGTGCGGGGGTGGGGGCGTGGGGGGGGAGTCGCGAGCGCCCCGCCCGGCCCTGAGCCCTGTCTCACGGCCTAGGCGACGTCCAGTTCTCTGTGGCTTCGGATGACAACTCTGAGTTCTGGCTGAGCCCAAACGAGAGCCCAGCAGGTGCCCAGCTGGTGGCCTTTGTGGGCAAGGTATCCCCACCCGCCCCTCCGTCCACACCCCTTCTGTCTTCACAGGCCTCCTGTGGCCTGGGTCGCCTGTCCCCTCCAACTTCTCAGGAAGGGGCCCTGGGTGGGGCTGGTGCCGCAAGGAGAGGGTGAGCCCCCTGCCCTTTCCTGTTGCCCTCCAGACGGGCTCAGAGTGGACAGCGCCTGGAGAGTTCACCAAGTTCAGCTCCCAGGTGTCCAAGCCCAGACGGTGAGTGCCTGGGAGCAGATGTGTGTCTGTGTGTGAGGACAGGGTGACACGTGCACACATGAAACTGCTGCCGGCCCTGGAACTTGTCACCTCTCGGGGGCTCCTGGGGCGCGGTGGGCCGGCCCCTGACTCCTCCTGTCCCCAGGCTCATGGCCTCTCGGAGGTACTACTTTGAGCTGCTGCACAAGCAGGATGACCGCGGCTCGGACCACGTGGAAGTGGGTGTGAGTGCAGCTGCCCCCCGGGGGGCTTCTGGAGGCCCCCCCCCCGCCCTGCCCTGCCCTGCTCCCGGCCACTCCCCCCAGAACAGCCGCGTGGATGTGCCCCCCTCCCCAGGATTTCCCATCTAGCTGACAAAGCAGCTGCCCAGGGACGGGACTTGTGCTCCACTGCGCCTGCTCAGGGGCTCCACAGAGAAAGGGGCCCCTGAGCAGATTCTTGAGAGAGAGGCTCCCAGGGAGACCCATGGGGAGAGAATCCAGGGCACGAGGATGAATTCCTGGTCTCAAGAACAGTCTTCTGGAACTCCAAGCAGTCTGGTGGCTAGATCAGGCAGGGCTTCCTCCTGAGAATGAGGCAATGGGATTTGCATGTCAGGGAAAACCCTCTAGCCACTGCCTGTTGGGAAAGATTTTCACAGGTGACCATCAGTCCCTGAACCCGCAGGTCCTGTGGGGGCAGGGGGAGATGCCCACTGGCTGAGCCCGAGTTTAGCTGGATGTGGGGTGGTGACCAGGGAGGGCTGGTGGGGGGATGTTACAGGTGTCTGGTTTGTGTGTGGAGGGCATAACCCCAACTCAGCTTGGCAGAGGGTGTAGATTGGAGATACAGATTTGAGGTGATCTTGTGGAAGCTGAGGGGGTGACTAATGGCCCAGGATGAGCTGGGAAGGGAAGAGGGCCTGGGACAGCCCCCAGGAACCCAGCGTGAGAGGGATGGGGGAGAGACAGTCTACAAGGGAGACTGAGACGCACAGGCACAGAAGCAGGAGAAGTGGGGATGGGGAGGTCCACCAGGGAGCTGGGAGCCACTGGGGCTTGCCCTCGGAAGGCCAGCTCTGACTTCCAGAATGGCAGTGGCCATAGAATCACGAGCAGGTGGGGGTGGATGTCATAACCAGAAGATGAAGAAGCGCCCAAGGTGTCAGGAAAGGCCTGAAGGGGGCAGAGGAGGTTCTCATCTTCCTCCAGGGACCCCAACCTTCCGGGCCTCAGCAGCTTCCCTGCCATGCCTTCTTAGGACTCCTCTCCCGTCCACCCGCCCAGCTTTCTGCACCCTTAAAGGCGTTACCCTACTAGCTCCTTGTCCCCATGCCAGGAAGATCCACTCCTCCCTGACCCAGGGTGTCCCCCGCACCCCCTTCCTTTGGCCCTGACCACCCTCTCCAACCCCCAGTGGCGAGCATTCCTGCCGGGTCTGAAGTTCGAGGTTATCGGCTCTGCTCACATCTCCCTCTACACAGGTCTGGAGCCAGTTCCTCTGGGGAAGGGGAGGCCCATACGAGTGGTCTCCGGGGTGGCTGGATGTGGGTGAGGAGGGCTCTGTGAACTCCTTGGGGACCTCACACATCCTCTGCCCCTAGACGAGTCAGCCCTGAAGATGGACCACGTGGCTCACGTGCCCCAGTCTCCTGCCAGTCACGTGGGGGGGCGGCCCCGGCAGGAGGAGCCCAGAGCTGACATGCTGCGGCCAGATCCCCGAGACGCCTTCTTTCTCAGTGAGGGGGTTCACCCACAGGGTGGAGGGAGTGTCAAGGCGAGGGTCCGGATCACAGTGTGACCTCCCTTTTCACAGCACCTCGGGTGGAGCCCTCGGATCTGGAGAGTGTGCTGGAGCCCTGCGCCTATGCCCCGACCTATGTTGTCAAGGACTTTCCCATCGCAAGATACCAGGGACTGCAGTTCGTAAGTGCCCCCAGCCAAGGTCTTCCCTGAGGCCCAGGCCTCCCCCTCTCCAGGGTCCTGGAGGCCTCCTCCAGACCCTCTGAAAGACGGCCCGCCCTGAGCCCTCTGCCCACCCCAGGTGTACCTGTCCTTCGTCTATCCCAATGACCACACGCGCCTGACTCACATGGAGACTGACAACAAGTGCTTCTACCGGGAGTCGCCGCTGTATCTGGAAAGGTGGGTGGCGGGTGGGCGGTGCCCGGGAAGAACGGGCGGGCCTCAACCGAGCGGGTCTCTGACGCCCCGCCCGCCCCAGGTTTGGGTTCTACAAATACATGAAGATGGACCGGGAGGAGGGCAGGGAGGACAGGGAGGAGGTGCAGCGCCGAGCCTTCCTCTTCCTCAACCCCGACGGTGAGTGCCCACGGTGAGTGCCCACAGTGACCCGACGCCCAGCTGGGTGGCCCTGCAGTGGCTCACGCGCGCTTCCCACAGACTTCCTGGATGACGAGGACGACGGAGAGCTGCTTGACGCTGGCCTGGGGCCCACCGAGGCCCCCCGAAGGCAGGGCAGCCGCCAGCTCCCGGCCCCCCCAGCCCCCTCGGAGGCCGCAGCCACCCCCGAGGCGCTGGCATCCCGGCGCTCCCGGGCGCTGAGCTGGGCGGCCCGCCAGCTCCCCCCCTTCTGGGGCCGCGCCCCGCCCCCGCGGCCCGCAGCCCGGCCCTCCAAGGTGTATGTGACACGTGTGCGGCCAGGACTGCGGGCGCCCCCTGGGGCCCCGCCGCTTGGCGCACGCGGCCCGCCGCGGCCGCCCTTGCCTGGCGTCTTCCTGCGCCCCCGACCCCTACCCAGGGTGCCGCTGCGGGCGCCCCCACGCCCACCCCGGGCTCGAGGCCACAGGACGAGCAGCCCCCCGGCCACAGAGCTGAGAGCCCTAGCCCCAGCGCCGGCCACCCAGGAGAGCCAGGAGGGCCAGGCGCGCGCGCCGGGACTCGCGGCCCCCACAGCGGACTCCAACTCGTCCTCTGAAGCGCAGCCTGTGACCTCCTTCCTGAGCTTGTCCCAGGTGTCCAGGCCACAGCTGCCTGGGGAGGGCGAGGAGGGCGAGGAGGAGGAAGGGGACGATGACGAGGAAGGGGTGCCGGGCGGCGCGTCAGAGGACAGCGAGGAGGCGGCAGGCCTGGTGCGCGGCCGCTGGCACGAGGACGCCATTGACTGGCAGCGCACGTTCAGCGTGGGCACCGTGGACTTCGAGCTGTTGCGCTCTGACTGGAACGACCTGCGCTGCAACGTGTCTGGGAACCTGCAGCTGCCGGAGGCCGAGGCCGTGGACGTGGTGGCTCAGTACATGGAGAGGCTCAACATGCGCCACAGCGGGTACGGGTCAGGGGTGGTGGGAGGCGTGGAGCGTGGCCTCGATGGGACCCTCAGCTCTTCCCCAAGGCCTCACCAGGCACTCCTCTGGGAGTGGTACACACATGCACGCACACCCGTCAGAAAGTGTTTTCTCTCCCTTCTGGTTCCCCCGTCCTGCACCTCCAAACCCCCCACCTGCCACCTTGGACCTGAGGATGAATCTGAGCCACCCAGGTCCTCCTTGAAATAGACACACACAATCAAGCAAAGAACCCCAGGATCCCTCCCCCCACCAGCACCATGCTGACTGGGGTCTTAGTCCTCAGAGGTGAGCTCAGGGTTCCTGCCCCATTGACCCCTCTGATTGGGTCCCCCAGGCCCCAGGAATTGAATCCTGTCTCCACCTCAAGCAGGTGTGGGGCTGGAGAGTGGAAACCCCAATTTGCCCTGAGGGGTTCTTAGAAATATGCTGAGCCCTTAAGGAGGGGCAGGACCTGCAGACATGAGTGACAGGCAGAGGCTGTCCAGGACGCTGGTGGGCAGAGGACAGGCCTCATGGGCATCTAAGGCCAGGTTCAGGACTCATTCTTGCCTCTGATACAAAGTTTAGAGCAGGACACGCGTTTGGCCCATCTGGATCATAGATGAAGGTGTGGCAGCCTTGGAGAGGAGAGGGTGGAAGGTGGAGCCTGTGACCTACAGGCTTGGTCCAGGGCAGTGATGGGACGGCCTGGACTCGGCAGAGGCGGGGGCAGATTGATTCTAGGTGGCTGAAAAAGCCAGCCTGCCCTTAGCTCTGAGCCTCTTGAGAGCAGCTCATTGTCCCAGGGTATGAGGGCCTGTCCAGCAGAAAGGTCATGGCTGCAGCTCCATCCTCTGAGCAGAATGAGGGTGTGAGTAGCCCCAGGAGTGAAAGCACAGACCCAGAGCTTTGTGGCAGAAAGGCCCTGACACTTGGGGAGACTGTGGTGGGGATGGGGATGGGCATGGGGCGAGGGGAAGAATTTAGACCCCTGGAGGTCACACTGGTCGGCTCCCAGGTGAGTGACACCAGCTGTGCAGGGGGATCACATGGCAGAAAGAGCAACCTAGTCAAGCGCAGGGCCCTGTCTCCCCGAGAGGAGGGGAAACCACTGTTTGTGGGCGGAGTGAAGGTGGAGGTGAGGTGCTCCAGGCGGGAGTGAAGGGGAAGGGCCAGAGGCTTCTTCCCAGAACAGGGAAGCCCTTGGGCTTGTGCCAGGGAGGCAAAAAGGAGGATTCTCAGAGGACATATCTAGGACCTTGGAGACGGCAGGTGGGGAGAATGGGGCCCAGCATCCAGGCAGGGGCACCTGGGACAGAGCCCTCCCCCCAGAAGAAGAAGCTCGCTTGTCTGCGGGACAAGATACTGAGACAAGTCAGAGACCGTTCACCAGAGTTAGAAACAAGGCATCTGAGTCCCGTCCTGTGGGCAGTGGGTCCCCCTGTAGGTTTCTGAGCGTGTGGCTGTGGACAGCGGTGGTGGCAGGGAGGAGAGAGGACGGCCTGGGCGCGGGGATGCCTCCCTCGTGGGGCGTCGGGGGAGGAGGAAGCCTGAAATGTGGGTCTGCCTTCTGAGACGGCATGCCCCTCAGGCCTTGGCCTTGAGGGGGTATGGGTGGGTGGGGGCTGGGACACATGGTCGCTGGGGGGGAGGGGTGCATGGCAGCCACCACCCCACCCCACCCCCAGTCATTTCAGTGGCCGCCTTTCTGTGCCGGCGATGGGGGACAGGGGAGGGGGGCCTCCACTCTGCGGCTGACCGGGCTCCGCCCCCAGGCGATACGCTCTTCTGCGCATCGTGAACGTGGAGAAGCGCCGGGACTCCGCGCGAGGGAGCCGCTTCCTCCTGGAACTGGAGCTCCAGGAACGCGGCGGGCGCCGCCTGCGCTTGTCTGAGTACGTCTTCCTGCGCCTGCCCGGGGCCGGTGCCGGCGACACTGAGGAAGACAGAGAGAGTCCCGCGCCCGCCGCAGCCTCCTCCGCGCCCCCCGACGGCCGCCCGGGGCTGTGCCGGCCACTGCGCCTGGCTTGGCGCCAGGATGTGATGGTGCACTTCGTCGTGCCGGGTGCGCGGGGTGCGGCGGGCGGCGCCACCTAGGGCTGCAGAGGGGCGGGCGGCGCCACCAGTTTGGGTCCAGGTGGGTTCAGTGTCCCCATCCTCCCCCAGTGAAAAACCAGGCACGCTGGGTGATACAGTTCCTGGCAGACATGGCCGCACTGCACGCCCGCACAGGTGACTCCCGCTTCAGTGTCGTCCTGGTAGACTTCGAGAGCGAGGACATGGACGTGGAGCGGGCCCTCCGCGCAGCGCGGCTGCCCAGGTAACGGCGCCCCCACCTCCTTTCGGGGAGGGTGGACCGAATCCTTCCTCCTCCCCAACAAAGATGGGTTTTCCTGCCCCCGCCCTGCCCCCAGAGACCGCGGTGTGTGATTCCACCCGCTCGTCCCCTCTCCCAGATACCAATACCTGAGGCGAGCTGGAAACTTTGAGCGCTCTGCGGGGCTGCAAGCTGGAGTGGACGCGGTGGAGGTGCGTGGGCAGGGTGGGGCTGGCCAGAAAAGCCAGGTGGGCTGGGGCGGGCGCGCCCTTCCGGAGCGGAGGGTGAGGCTCAGACCTCCCCGCTGCCCCCAGGATGCCAGCAGCATCGTTTTCCTCTGCGACCTGCACATCCACTTCCCCCCCAGCATCCTAGACGGCATCCGCAAGCACTGCGTGGAGGGCAAGCTGGCCTTCGCACCTGTGGTCATGCGGCTGAGCTGCGGGAGCTCACCAGGGGACCCACACGGTAATGCCCTGGATGCCCCCCAGGAGGGCCCGGGGTCCCACCAATGCCAGGGTGAAATCTAGGCTCCCCAGGGGCCTCCCAGCCCGCAAGGTAGGCTTGGGGCCCCATCAGGGTTCCCTGTAATGCCCGGGACTCCTTGTGGCATAGGAGTGCCACTCCACAGTGCCCAGGACCCCAAGACCCCCGGAGTAACCCCAGGGTCATGCTTGGCCTCTAGGGATCTCCTCCAGCACCCAAATCATGCCCAGGGTCCCAAGTACGACCAACATGTTGGAGTTGACCCCAAGAGCCCTCCTGAAATAAGGCCTTTCAGGACCTGGTGTCTGAAGGGCACCCCCTCCTCACCAGGTTACTGGGAGGTGAATGGCTTTGGCCTTTTTGGGATCTACAAGTCTGACTTTGACCGCATTGGAGGCATGAACACCGAGGAATTCCGGGACCAGTGGGGAGGCGAGGACTGGGAGCTCCTGGACAGGTGACCCCCCCCCCCCACACACAAACACACAGAGACAGACTCCACGTCCTGCCCTCTGGGTGGGGAGGGGCCCCGGGGTCCTCACTGCTGACAAGACTCTGCTGTCTTCCTCTTCCTACCCTCAGGATCCATAGGCCTAGAGAGATTCTAGATGCCCCCCCATTCCCCTAAACCCCTTCCCAGCTCCAGGGTCCTGCAGACTCAGGGAAGCCCCCAGATCCTATAGGCCTGGTGATGGCCCTGGGGTCCCCCTGGCCCCAGTGGGGCCCTACAGTAGTGGAAGCCCCCCACATCCAGCCCCTGGACCGGATTATGACCTCTTCCATTCCACCCCACCCCACGGTTCTATAGGCTCAAGGGCTGCCCTGACACACGTGCCCTCCCCTGCCAGGGTCCAGAATACGGGTAGCCCCATTCACCCCCAATCCCCAGTCTTGATTGCTCCCAAAGACCCTCCAGGCTGCAGGGCAGCCCTGACCACCCCTCCCTACCCCCAGGGTCCTGCAGGCAGGGCTGGAGGTGGAGCGACTCCGAGTGCGGAACTTTTACCACCACTTCCACTCCAAGCGGGGGATGTGGGGCGCACGCAGCCGCAAGGCCGCCCGAAAGGAGGCCCCTTGAGGACCAGTGAGCCCTCCCAGCCCCACCCGCTGGCCTGTGTTGGCAGCTGGAGGCCAGGCCCAGAGCCGGGATCCTGGGGACCCGGCGGTCTCCTCCCGGGGTACAGCCCCCATTGGGCCTGCCCGCTTGGCCCCCAGGCTACTTCGCCCTCGGCCCCTCCCAGAGAGGCAGCCTCCAGAGCGGGCGGGGCCCAGGCTCGGCCCCCGTGCCCTGTGCGATGATTTCTGTGAAATTTTGCTGTAGCGATGACATTGTTTTCAGGATTTCCAAGAGTTCTGTCTGTTCCATTTTTTATTCAGAATGAAATGAAATATTTTTTTTAGTTCTGACTCGTTCTGTGTGCCTGGATGTCTTGGGGGGCAGAGGGGCCTGGGTGCTGTGCCTGCTCCTGACTCCCCTTCCTGACCTGAGCTTTGGACACCGTGCTGATCCCACCTTCCTGCACCCTTGCGGCTTCCTGCCTCTCCAACATCTTCCTTTTGAGCTTTGGGCCCTGAGGAGAAGGGCCTTTGGACCTCCTCCCACCACCCTGTGTATGGAGCCACTGGTCATGGGCGAGGCACAGGGCCTTTCCACCCACAAACAAATAATATCCGACCACGTCCTCAGTCCCGTTTGTAGTGAAAACCACCTTGGATGTGAGTCCTGCCCCATCCACCTGAAAGATGTGGGAGCACTCAGCACCCCGCGACTGGGGCGGGGGGTTGGCAGGGGATGGCCTATGACCAGGTTGGGGGATATGGTTAGGACTCAGTTGCCATGAATGGAGACCCCAGTGCAAACTGCTTTAGTGAGAGATTTGCTTGTTTGACATTTCTCATGTTACCCTCGTTCAGGGTCAGGAGCCCCTGGGGAGTCAGAGACAGACTGGACGATGCTGTCAACAGCCAGCTCTTCCCTGGGCTGCCTGGTACTGGGTGCACCTGCCCATATGAGTTCCTTGTGTCTGCTATAGCAAATTTCCAAGAACAAAATGGAATTTCCTGTCATATAGCTCTGGACATCAGACGTCCTAAAATCGAGGTTTCCAGCCTGCATTCTCTCTGGAGGCTTTAGGAATGAATCTGCTCCCTTCCTTTCCCAGTTCCTAGAGGGCACCGGGATTTCTTGGTGCATGGGCCCTTCCTCCATCCTCAAAGCCATCAGCTTACCATCTTCATATCACTGTCTCTCACCTCTGCCACCATCATCATGTCTCCTCCTCTGACTGACCCTCCTGCCTCCCTCTTATAAGGACTTATAATGATGTCCTTATGACATGATGTCTTATGATGACATTGGACCCATGCAGATAACCCAGGACAATTGCTCCATCTCAAGGAACATCCTTCATGGATGGAAACACTCAATACTGTCACAATGTCAGTTTTCCCCAACTTGACTCAATGCAATCCAAATCAAAATCCCACCAAGTGGGGCTTCCCTGGTGGTCCAGTGGTTAAAAATCCGCCATGCAAAGTCCCTCTTGCCATGGAGATGACAACCAGAGGTTCTGAGAATTAGAGCATGGACATCTTTGGGGCTGTTACGCTGTGTATGTCCTTATTCCGTGGGAAGGCAGCATGTCCACCCAGAATTCCAAACAATTCTCAAGATTTACCTCACCATGGGGAGGATTTCAATGAAAGAGGGATCAGTCCCTGGGAAGACCCCAGGGATGACCGTGGCACTCAGCTCTGTGGCTGCTGACCAGGGCAGCCAGTGGGTCTGTGAACATTAAGTCACTTGTGACTTGAACTTCACCGCAGGTCCTCCTGGTTCATAGAGGGCAAGTGCCCACAAGGTGAAGGATGCAGCAGACCTGCCTCCTCAAGCTACCGGATGCCCCAGCTCATACTGTCCACTCCTCCCTAATTGTCTAGTTCAGAAGGAATGGTCCCCAGTCACAGATGTTTGTAACAAGAAAGAACTAGCAGTGAAGTTAAGAATTGTTATTCAGTCACTCAGTCGTGTCTGACTGTGATCCCATGGACTGCAGCACGCCAGCCTTCCCTGGCCTTCATAATCTCCCAGAGTTTGCTCAACTCATGCCCATTGAATCAATGATATCATTCAACCATCTCATCCTCTGTCGCCCCCTTCTCCTCTTGCCCTCAGTCTTTCCCAGCATCACGGTCTTTTCCATTGAGTCAGCTCTTCACATCAGATGGCCAAATTGGAGCTTCAGCTTCAGCATCAGTCCTTCCAATGAATATTCAGGACTGATTTCCTTTAGGATGGATTGGTTGGATCTCCTTGCAGTCCAAGGGACTCTCAAGAGTCTTCTCCAACACCACAGTTCGAAAGCATCAGTTCTTTAGCACTCAGCTTTCTTTATGGTCCAACTATCACATCCATACATGACTACTGGAAAAACCATAGGTTTGACTAAACAGACCTTTGTCAGCAAAGTAATGTCTCTGCTTTTTAATATGCTGTCTAGGTTGGTCATAGCTTTTCTTCCAGTGGGCAAGCATCTTTTAATTTCATGGCTGCAGTCACCATCTGCAGTGATTTTGGAGCCCCCCAAAATAAAGTCTGTCACTGTTCCCATTGCTTCCCCATCTATTTGCCATGAAGTGATGGGACCAGATTCCATGATCTTAGTTTTCTGAATGTTGAGTTTTAAGCCAACTTTCTCACTCTCATCTTTCACCTTCATTAAAAGTCTCTTTAGTTCCTCTTCGCTTTCTGTTATAAACATGGTGTCATCTGCATATCTGAGGTTATTGATATTTCTCCTGGGAAACCTGATTCCAGCTTGTGCTTCATCCAACCCAGCATTTCGCATGATGTACTCTGTATATAAGTTAAATAAGCAGGGTGACTATATACAGCCTTGATGTACTCCTTTCCCAATTATCAATCAGTCTGTTGTTGCATGTTCATTTCTAACTGTTGCTTTTTGACCTGCATACAGGTTTTGCAAGAGGCAGCTAAGGTGGTTTGGTATTCCCATCTCTTTAAGACTTCCACAGTTTGTTGTGATCCACACAAAGGCTTTAGCATAGTCAATGAAGCAGAAGTAAATGTTTTTTCTGGAACCTTGCTTTTTCTATTATACAGTAGATGTTGGCAATTTGATCTTTGGCTCCTCTGCTTTTTCTAAATCCAGCTTGTACATCTGGAAGTTCTCAGTTCATACACTGTTGAAGCCTAGCTTGAAGGATTTTGAGCATTACTTTGCTAGCATATGATATGAGTGCAATTGTGTGGTAGTTTGAACATTCTTTGGCATTCTTTGCCCTTTTGGGGGATTGGAATGAAAACTGACGTTTTCCAGTCCTGTAGCTACTGCTGAGTTTTCCAAATCTGCTGGCATATTGAGTGCAACAGCATCCTCTTTTAGGATCTGAAATAGCTCGGCTGGAAATCCATCATCTCCACTAGCTTTGTTCATAGTGATGCTTCCTAAGGCCCACTTGACTTCACACTCCAGGATGTCTGGCTCTAGGTGAGTGATCACACCATCATGATTATTTGGATAGTGAAGATCTTTTTTGTATAGTTCTTCTGTGGATTCTTGCCACCTCTTATTAATATCTTCTGCTTCTGTTAGAGTGTTTCTGTCCTTTATTTTGCCCATCTTTTTTTTTTTTTCCCATCTTTATATGAAATGTTCCCTTGGTATCTCTAATTTTCTTGAAGAGATCTCTAGTCTTTCCCATTCTATTGTTTTCCTTTATTTCTTTCCATTGTTCACTGAGGAAGGCTTTCTTATCTCTTCTTGCTATTTTTTGGAACTCTGCATTCAGATGGGTATATCTTTCCTTTTCTCCTTTGCCTTTCACTTCTTTTCTTTTCTCAACTATTTGTAAGGCCTCCTCAATCACTTTGCCAAAAGGGGGAGAGGGGATGTAACAGCCAGGGGAAGCATGTACATCAGAAAAATAATTACCTCTGGAAGCAGAAAAAAAAAAAAAGACACTTCATCTAATCTAGAACACATATATACCATGATTTATTCATCCATTTTAACAACTACTGAGTACCCACTATGCACCAGGTACTGACGGAAACCTGGTGAATGAAACAGACAGGAATCCCTGCCCTTGTAGACTTTACATTCTAGTGAAGGGAGGGGGAGCAGACAATAGACACAACAAAGAGATGTCTAGTATATTAGCTGGTGGCAGCTGCTGTAGAGAAAAATAAAGCCAGGAAAAAGAATAGTGAGTCTCGGTGAGGCTGCCATTGTAAATAGTGGTCAGGAAAAGTCTGAGACGGTGACATCCCAGCAAAGCCCTGAGGTTGTGGTGAGTCTGCCAAGGACAGAGATGGGGGAGGGGAAGATGTATGTCAGTGTTCACATTTGAGCAAATGTTAAATCCTTCTTATCACTTCTTTTCAATATTATACTGGAAGAACTTTAAATCCTTCTCACTTCTTTTCTTTTTTTTTTTTAGAAGGGAACTTTTGCTTTTATTTTATTTATTTATTTATTTTTTTTTTTTTATCACAACCATAGTGTATCTTTTTTTTTTTTTTTACATGTATTCCCCATCCCGGTCCCCCCTCCCACCTCCCTCTCCACCCAATCCCTCTGGGTCTTCCCAGTGCACCAGGCACGAGCACTTGTCTCATGCACCCAACCTGGGCTGGTGAACTATTTCACCCTAGATAATATACGTGTTTCAATGCTGTTCTCTTGAAACATCCCACCCTCGCCTTCTCCCAGAGTCCACAAGTCTGTTCTATACATAGGAGTCTCTTTTTCTGTTTTGCACATAGGGTTATCGTTACCGTCTTTCTAAATTCCATATATATGTGTTAGTATACTGTAATGGTTTTTATCTTTCTGGCTTACTTCGCTCTGTATAATGGGCTCCAGTTTCATCCATCTCATTAGAACTGATTCAAATGAATTCTTTTTAATGGTTGAGTAATATTCCATGATGTATATGTACCACAGCTTCCTCATCCATTCGTCTGCTGATGGGCATCTAGGTTGCTTCCATGTCCTGGCTATTATAAACAGTGCTGCGCTGAACATTGGGGTACACGTGTCTCTTTCAGATCTG